CACATTTTGACTTCATTCAACTATCCTCTGCATTTCTGAAGGAGGTTTTGTTAAATTCATTCATGGGATGGGGGCATCGCTGGCTAGGCAGCATTTACTGCCCATCCCTAATTACCCAGAGGGCAGTTAAGAGTCAAGCACATTGCTGTGTGTCTGAAGTCACATGCAGGCCAGAATAGATAAGGATGGCAGTTTCCTACACTAAAGAACATCTCTTCTGACAATCGACAATAGTTTCACAGTCATCATTAGAATTGTAATTCCAGATGTTTATTGAATTCAAATTCCACCATCTGCCATGGTGGGATGCGAACCCAGGTCCCCAGAACATTCTGGGTCTCTGGATTAACAGTCCAGCAATAATACCACTAGGCCATTGCCTCCCATTGGGCATCAGAATTCCTGGCCAAAAAACATGGAACTTGGTATTAATATGAAAAAATAAACAAGTGGAGAAAAGAAAAAAGTGATTGCCACTTCTCAGACTATCTAAATTTACATTCCTTTTTGAAATAAAGACACAAGAACACTATACTGTACAGTCATGTGTACAGTATTATTCCAGGTATGGTCTTATCAATGGCCTGTTCAATAGCAGTGAAATTTTGTAACCTTTGTATCACACCCTTCCAGAAATAAACACCAACAATCCATTTGCCTTCCTTGCTGAAACTGCACACTAATTTTTGTGATTCATGTACCAGGGCATCTGGATCCCTCTGTATCACCCAGTTATACAATCTCTCTCCATTTAAACAATAGACAACTCTTAATTTCTAAAGATTCATTTGCACAGATGCACTTTGAATCCGCTCCCCATTTAAATAATAATTTGCCCTTTTATTTTCCAGCCAACATGGACAACCTTGTACTTATCCACATTAAACTCCATCTGCCAGATTCTGATTCATTCTCCTAGCCAATCAATATCCACCAGTAAACTCTATCTCCTCATCACAAACTGCCTTCCCATTTATTTTAGTATAAACCCCAAATGTGATTATATTACACTCTCTCCCTGCTTGCAGATCATTTATATAGATTGTAAACAGTTGGGGTCCGAGAACTAAACCCTGCAGCACCCCATAAGTTACAGTACGCCATCTAGAGAAGGATCCCTTCGTCCCGACCCTCTAGCCCTGTTAGAATTTTATAGGTTTCTAAGGGAATCTCCCCTATTCATTTAAATTCCAGTGAATATAGTCCTAACTCAATCATTCTGCCCCTGAACAAAGCTGAAGGAACAGAATAAAGGTATAAGAAAGGCGTAATCACCATATGAACTGAAATAAAATTTTTATAGAGAACAGCAGGAGAGAATATAAATTAATATTGAAGGGGAAATTTATGTTTTATGATTCCAGAGTACAGAATACCCTCATTCCTTTTAAGTACTTTCTCCTGTTGAGCAAGTGAGCTGAATCGTATTCCAAAATGGGTTACATTCTTTGCTGTCAGGGCAACTATATATTATCTTTGAAAATGCAGACAAGGCAGCTAAATCCAAATGGATATTTGCCCACAATGAAGTTGTTGACAGGATGGGCAGGTTAAAACTAGGACCATAGTTGTCTCCAATGATCAGAAAATTCCTTGTTTAGAGCGTGTTTTTGACAAAAAAGATCAATCACAATCACAGCGATGGACAAGATAAATCAACATTACTTAGGTTCAGGACTCAACGTTAAAAGTGACCCAATTGAACAGTAATCTTGCTATTTATCTGTAGCTTGTTTACTTTTGGACAAACTTACATGTGATCAATATGTAAGGTTAGAAAAAAAAATAACTCTGCATTTTTGCAGTCTAACAGCAAAGACAAAAACAAAGTTGCTGGAAAAGCTCAGCAGGTCTGACTCCCCTTTCTGATTATTTACTTAGTCACTCTTTAAATTTTTATTTTAGACGATCTGTGCATAGCATTAAGCTGAAGAACTGCTTTTTAATTTTAGACAGTGTTGTTTGAAGTTAAATGTTGACCAGTACACACAGAAAACTCCCAGAAGACCTTTCACATTGACTTAAACAGGTGGATGGGGTCTCATTTAGCATCTGATCTGAAAGACTGCACTTCAAGTCACCAGACCTGAAACAGTAACTCTGTTTTCTCCTTCACAGATGCTGCCAGACCTGCTGAGCTTTTCCAGCAACTTTGTTTTTGTCTTTGCTGTTAGACTGCAAACATGGGAGCCAAAACTTTGTACTAGTTGTTCTACAAGCTTTTAGGCCCTCTAGCCCTCAACCTCATCAATCCTCGTATGCCCTATATGCCAACTGCTGCCCTGTAATAACCCTCCATGCTACCTCTCACCTACCATCTCTACAGCCACTCAAACAGTATCCATGACCAGAGCGCAGGAATTAAAAGCCATTTGGACTTTTTCTAAAAATAATTGAGCTCACGCTCATACACATTTAATACTGAAAATAACTCTCATTCATTCAACCAACTGAAAGATTTTACATTCCATGTTTCTAATCAGTGATAAAAACCTGCCCTTGAGAAATGTCAATCAAGAGTTCTACTGAAATTTCAGAAACAGCTGGAAATTCTTATTTAACCTAAAACAGGTGCCCCTACAGTCAAAGCAGAGGTTTTTTTTTAAATTTTACTTGATTGCTCCAGCTTTTTATTTCCATTTTAAAGCGGTGGGAATTTAAAAAGTCATTTCAAGACATTTAAATAGACCGCATCATCTCTTCAAGAATATGTAGGATTACTCCAAAAATTTGTGAATTAAAGCTCTTGGTACTGTGAAAATGTGGTTGGTTCGAAGTCAGTAGCGTTGTGTAAAATTTGTGCTCAGTTCAGCTGCGTCATTCACATCCCTCTCCCCTGTCCCCTGTGCAAAACTCCCATATCCAGGTCCAGCCCATTCAGAGTTGGGTTTGACTCTCAAAAATCTGGCTCCTGGTCTAAGGTTAAAAAGCTAATACCAAACCAATTTGACATTTTGATTTCATACAAATCGACTCATTCTGCGCACACAATTCAAGCAATTGCAATGAAATAGAATGATGAGGCATTTCTACAGTATCTTTCACCAGCTCAAAATGCTCCAAACCAATTAACCATTTTTGAAATGTAGTCACCGTTGTAACATTGTAAACACAGCAACCAACAGTTGTGCAGACACCCAACCGGTCTCTGTTTAATTTTTAACTCATTGGTACCACACTGAAATGTCATTCCAGATTCTATGTCCAAGTCTCTGGAATAGGACCTGAACACATGGCCCTCTGATTTATTGGCAAGAATGTTACAACTGGTCCAAGTCTGATACTCTGGTTTGATTGAGATGATGATTAAACCTCTTCATTTCTTGTGTGGTTTTAAGTAGGGGTGGGAACCAATAGGGTGAGACATCCTAGTTAAATGGTTTCAGTGATAGGGCAGTGACCCCACTTAACAAACGGAAGGTTAAACAGCCATAGAAAGTGCAAAAGTATATGAACCATTAAGACATAGGACAGGATTTAAACAAACCAACAGAAGAACTCTTTAGGAAATATACACGCTCTCAAGATGTCTCATGCACTTTAGATATAATGAATTACTTTGAAATGCAGTCAGCCTTGGTATGTAGACTTTTTACTGTCAAATTGGTGACTGCAAACGGCCATCATTTGAGTCATCATCTTGAAATGATTAACATTATCTCTAACATAAAACTTTAATCTTGCTAATGTTTAAAGTCTCAGTAAAACACAATGGAGCTATTGTACAGACTGAAAACTACAGAAACTTGTGATCTAATGTCAGCTAAACACAAAAAATAGCTTTAATTCTGACAGGTACCTATGTTATTCAACAATACAATCATAATCTAAGGATTCATCACACTGCAGAAATGATTTGTAGTGATTTGCTCAAAGAGACTGATAAACCAGCAACAGTGCTCTGTGCATATCATGTACTAATCCAACTTGACATATCATCTGTTCATCTTACTTGATGATACTTAAATAAATAGTTATACTGCTGGGGTATTTTTATTTCTTGTTTCTTTTTGGGGGAGGGTCCTGTATACTAGATCTGGAGATGGAAAAGGCTATGTTTATTCTCTATTCTCTACCCTTCCCCCAACATCCCAAAACAAACAGTCTGGATACAATGGAAATGTAATGTGTAATGAAAGCTGTGCAGTCACATCTAGGAGGCAACTTTATGTTGCTTTCACAGATCTCACCATGTAAGCAAAAGCGGTCTATTTAAGCTGAAGAAAATTGGCTGCCCGTTGGAACTTCCTAGTGCGATCTCCTCTTTCTATGGTAGCATGCCAGGTAGGGTCAGCTACATCAAGACAACATCACAACTTAAGATGCATAGTAGTCAAACAGGGTTGTGTTCTACAGCCAACATGCTTTTGCATATTCTCTTTATTGTTGTTGTATGCCTTCAGTTTATCTGTATAGGGTGTCCACTAACATATCAAACTCATATCAGAGGCACTGACCAGAAAACCTCCTTTTCTCACAATATTGGTTGAAGACTAACTGGTGGCCAGCACACAACGAGATTTCTGAACAAGGGTCCAGACCCAAAACGTCAGCTTTCCTGCTCCTCTGATGCTGCTTGGCCTGCTGTGTTCATCCAGCTCTACACCTTGTTATCTAAGGAACTCTCTCAGCCTTCTTCAAAAGTGTCATGTGATCTTTCACTTTGAATCAAGAAAGCTGATCAAACAGATTGCTTTGGCATTTCATTCAGCAGTGCAATGGTCCCTCTTTAGTGCACTACAATGTCAGCTAGATTTTCTGCTTGAACCTGCTGATTCAGAAACAACTGATGATGTAAGTCAACTGATAGAATGATTGCCTAGTGGCCTAGAACTATTTGGATCATGTCATCTGCCAATTTCTCAACAACCGCATAATGGGAAGGGATTCCTAAAAAAGGGTCAGAAACAAAATGCTGTGTGTAAACGGCTTAAGGGATCATCTGCTCATGGGACTAAATTGGGTGATGGGAGAAAAATATCCAGGCATGAAACAATTAATTTGTATTTGTAAATGATGTGTTTATTGAAGGCTCAAGCATGATGCCTTTCAGTTCATAAACTGCTTGCAACAAAGGTAGAGAATCAGGAATGTACATGCATCAAATTTAGTTGGTGTTAACTCAAGACATGATTACAATGGATGAATAACTACAAAGTGTTAATGAGGATGCCTCTTTCTGGAGAAGGGCTTGGCTCAAACTGGACCCACAAAACTACACAAACGTTATAATAGAAATTTTCATTTTTGGACAAGAGAAAGATTTTTATTCTGAAACCACTTTTCTGATGAAAGGAATCAAATATTTGGAAAGCTATCTGTTTTTTGGGGAAATGAATTAGCTTTGAAAACTTTGTATAAAAGCTAAAATATATTTTACTGTTCTGATGGGTCTGGACCAGCAACTCTTGCAAAATCTGATTATTTCAACCTCAAACGCCAGGTGCAATGACTAACCTGCAGGATTCCAGGTGACTTGGTTGTGATAGTATGTTATGAGATTGGAAGTTCCCTCTGCCATTGCAAACTGTTCCATTTTCCAAGCAGAAGACTCACTTGTGCCGCTGGTACAAAGATATTGTTTTTATTTTAAAAGATTTTATTTTAAATAAAGTCTTAATTTAAAAATGTACCTTGGGTGATATTGTACCAGACGTTCTATTTGCAAACCAAACCTCTAAAACGTGTTAAAATTTGATAATAGGTCAGAGTGTTTTATTTAACTGTTCACCGTTTCAACAGCACTTTCCCATTTTCATAAATTAAAAAAAACTTGCAGTCCTTCCCAGTACTTCACGAGCAGATTGATACATGTGTCTCATGCATCGGAATTGATCGTCTCCACAGTCTTGAGAAGCAGTTGCAAAAATAAGACAAAGAATTGAGTTGCACCAGTCGTCTTCTTTCATGTCAACTCGATCTTCAGGTCCTCCCCATACTTGCGGATCAGCTTGTTGTGATTGTGATCCACAGACCACAGGGGCGGAAGGTGGCGGGGCCGCATGTAGTCCAGGAAATGCTGGCGCCAACGTTTTTCCAAAGACATTAGGGCTCGGAGACCACCAACTGCACAGGACTGTGTCACTTTCAAACCATGAGGGACATAGCTTTCATTGAATACCCTGACAGGATAAGTGAAGTGGATAAATGCAAGGTCATTTTATTGATACATCATACCTCATATCAAAGCATAATACACATTAGTGTGTAGAAGCCAGATTAATCCACTGAGTAGAAAGAAATACATGGTCTTGCAGATACATTTGATGACGCTTCATAAATACCAGCTGGGCTAAATGGTTTGTTTCTATGATGTACGTTCTTCATGATTTTGATAATGAATTTAATTCATTACTTTAGCAGCATCACTTTAGGGAACGTAGAGGAAAACTTTCCTATCAAAGCCCCAGCAATCACATTAGGCAAGGCTTCCTCTGATCTGACTCTAAAACTTTAGTTTGAAACCTCAGAGTGACCCTTGACACATCCACCCAGCGTTTCAAATTCCCCACCAATTACTGTCGTGGTCCCAGTAAAACCAACAGTCCTTTGACCAGTAGGAACTAGCCAGTGGATCTATAGAGGATTATCTTTATCTTGTCACAGTCACTACATATTGCTCATGTATCAAACTAAAACAGGTTATCTGGTGATTGTCACATCATGGTTTACGAGATATACGCAAATTTCCCTGAATAGTAACCACACTTGTGTCTGTGGAAGCCGCAATGAAAATGGAAGCTTTTTCTTTTGTAACTGAGGATTCTTTTCTGACAATGAGGAGGAAGAATATATCACTGACATTTCTCAAGTGAATTCCAATGAGCTTACTAGAAAACGAAGACATAGTACAGGATAAATTTGCATAGAGGTAGATAACAAGGTGTGGAGCTGGATGAACACAGCAGGCCAGGCAGCATCAGAGGAGCAGGAAAGCTGATGTTTCAGGTCTGAACCCTTCAGAAAATGAAGCTTTTTCTGAAGAAGGGTCCAGACCCGAAACATCAGCTTTCCTGCTCCTCTGATGCTGCCTGGCCTTCTGTGTTCATCCAGCTCCACACCTTGTTATCTCAGACTCCAGCATCGGCAGTTCCTACTATCCCTTTCGTATAGAGGTAGGTTAGGTGATGCTTTACCAATAATACCAAGTGTAAAAGAATCAACTCTGTCCAATACTAAACTCCTCAAAAATTCACTGGCAGAGAGTTAATTACTTCCTTGTACTTCACTGCACACAAAATGTGGGTTTTTAATGTTGAGTATGGGAGTTACAATGAATGCCTCCATTGGGGGATACATACACAATGTATTGACATTTGTTATTTTTAAATCTATGAAATTATAGATCCCTTTTCCAGCTGATCAAGGTTTCACAAGGGGGAGGAAGCTATTCAGAAGTTTAATTCCTATTTGCACCAAGTCTTCTTCACCCACCAATCCTCTGCTCACCGACCTATGCCAACTCCCAGCTTAGCAATGCCTGGGTTTTAAAGTTACCATCTTTGTTTTCAAATTGCTCCCTGGTTTCATAGAAGATCATAGAATTCCTACAGTGTGGAAACGGGCCCTTCGGCCCAACAAGTCCACACTGACCCTCAGAGCACCGACCCAAACCCATCCCCCTATAACCCACCTAATCTACACATCCCTGAACACTACGGGCAATTTCGCATGGCCAATCCACCTAGCCTGCACATCTTTGGACTGTGGGAGGAAACAGGAGCACCCGGAGGAAACCCACGCAGACACGGGGAGAATGTGCAAACTCCACACAGACAGTCGCCGAGGTTGGAATCGAACCCGGGTCCCTGGCGCTGTGAGGCAGCAGTGCTAACCACTGAGCCACCACGCCACCCCTTTATATCTGCTGTAACCTCCTCCTCCAGCCCTAACACCCTCCGGGTGTTGCTTTCAACCAACTCTGGGTCTCTTGCAAATCCTAATTTCTATCACTCCAGCAATGGCTGCCATGCCTTCAGTTCTTTGGGCTGTGGAATTTCCTCCCCAAACTTCTGCTTGCACACACACTTAAAGTCACACCTCAAAATGAACTTCTTACGGACTAATCTTTTACTCTTTCTAATGTTTCATGTGGCTTGTTGTCAAATGCTACTCATTAAGGTGCCTGTGAACTATCTTAGGATGTTGTTACTATACTTAAAGCACTCATATCTGCAAGCTGCTTACAGTAGCTGTAAATTTGGAATCAAAAGTTTTCTCACCGCGTTTCCAGTGATGCTCCTTCTTCAAGGATCTCCCTGGTCAATGTTTGCACGCCATAGAAAGCCTTCAGGACATCCTGTAGTTCTTTCCTCCGAGCCTCAGGAAGGCCTTCAGCGCGCAGCAAGACCCGAGCTCCAGAACGCACCTGCCTGCGAACCGGATCCTCCAGTAGGCGAACATTTTCCTCACAACCAATCGGTGCGTTGAACTCCACTGCCAGCTGCTGCTTTAAGACATTGTCATAATAGTTTGAGGCAGCATGGCAGGCAGTGCACAGGAGCAGGACATCGTGAGAATTGTGGTCTTTCATTTGGACAGGGAAGTGTCTCCGGTATTCGTGGGGAACGATATTCTTCCTAAAGAAACACAAACGATTGCAACTATTTTATCTAAATTTCAGTGAAAACTGAAAATATGGGTTGCCTAAAGTGACCAGAATGAGGATGATTGAGTCATGTTTGCATTAACTGTAACTTTGCATTATTTATGTATCCATCACCTCTATTTTCATTGATCAGTCTGGCAACACGTCAATGTTAAAACAAAAACGTGTCTCTCCTCAAATATCTCAGTGTTCCCTCTCGTCAAATACCTCAGCGTTCCCTCTCCTCAAATACCTCAGCGTTCCCTCTCCTCAAATACCTCAGCGTTCCCTCTCCTCAAATACCTCAGTATTTGATCCCATAATGGACAGAAGTTATAACAACTTTGTTTTTATATGTAAATCGGAAAATGGAAGCTTGGACTACTGTGATGCAAAGAAAGAACTAATACGTTTTTTATAATTCGAAGCAAAGTGAAAAATATCTGGTGTTTACTCACTGGTTACACATGAACTGTAACTTTTTCAGAATCTGAATTTGAAACTTCTAAGACACAATCTGACATGAGCTGCATTTGGGATTAAAGGAAACTGCCCAGCAACAGCTTTTGGATTGCTTTTAAGTAGCGGTTTTTGTCACAGGACTAAGAGAAGAAAGCAGTGGGCATAAAGACCTCCAAAAACCTGCAAGCAAACCGAAACCCTTTCTCAAAGATATCCTCCTCCAGTTAGTTATTGATTTGTCCATTGTAATTTATGGCTAAATTGGCAGGACTAACTAATTAGTTATGGGAATGCTTAGCTTTGTCTAACATGCTGCCAACCTCCTTTTAAACCAAGGTCTTATCTCTCTTTTCAAATGAGCTTAAAAGATCCCATGACACTATTTCCAGGAAGAGTAGGGGAGTTACCCAGAGTCTTCTGCTCAATATTTATTCCACAGTCTTAGAGGTCTATAGCACTGAAAAAGGCCCATCAGTCCATCGAGTCTTCGCTGGTCAAAACCAACCACCTAACTATTCTAAATCAATTTCCAGCACTTGGCCCATAGCCTTCTATGTCTTGGCATTGTAATTGTACATCCAAATACCTCTTTAATATCATGAGAGCTTCTGTCTCTGCCATTCTTACAGGTAGAGAGCCTCTGGGTGAAAAAAAACTTTCTTTGTATCTCCTCTAAGCCTCCTGCCCCTCACCTTATATCTACACCCCCCTGTCATTGATCCCTCCACCTGTCTACTCTGTCTATGTCCCTCTTACGTTTATACATCCCTACCATATCCCCCCTCAGTTTCCTCTGATACAAGGAAAACAACCACAGTCTATTCAATCTCTCGTCATAACTTAAACTCTCCAGCTGAGACAAAATCCTGGTAAATCTCTTCTGCACCCTGCGGGTGAAATGCGTTTTAAAAATTCTCATCTCTCTTCTATATTTTCCAATGATCACTTCAAATCAACATCCCATCTTCCCCCAACAAAGTCTACAGACCCTAAAAACAGGAACTGTTGGAGAAACTCAGCAGGTCTGGCAGCATCTGTGGACAGAAAACAGAGTTAACATTTCGAGTGCGGTGACCATTCTTTAGAATTGGTCTAGAAACCTCTCTCTTGCCGTACATAGGTCTCTGACCCCCTCACTCCAACCCCATTCTCTCCTGCCCACTTCATCCTCTCGTACTCCTGCCTGTTCTTTCCTTTCTCCCCCTCTCCCACCCACTCTTGCCTCTCAACATCCCAAATCAGATTACATGAGTATCTCGGTTTGGAGGAGCTGAATATATGCAAATTAGCTCTGCATTTCCTAGACTACAACAGTGAGTGTATTTCAATAGTATTTTCTTGGTTATAAAATGCTTTAGGATGAACTGTGATTGTGAAAGGCTCTATAAAAATGAAAGGTGTTATATTTTCATTCTGTTTTGCTTCACCAGGTAGTCACTTTTATCAATGCCATCATGGATAAATACAGCTTTGACAGCTCGATTAATTAAAGATAAGATCAAGTAAGTTATTCCACCAGCCATGCCTCATTTCTCTCATCACCTTTGCTAGCCTAGTATGGCAGCTAAATACTTCAGAATGTGGCCAGTTCAGTCAGCTGTGGTATTACAGAGTCATTCCTGCTAATGGACATTGAAGCACCCTCTACTGCACACCCACCATCCCAGATCCACAGCAATGAAACAGATTCATCAGCTGAGGATGTTAATCAGCATGAGGTTTGATTGCATATAATGGAACTTCATAGGTTCCAGGATCAATGTTAAGGGTGCGTTGAACAAGTCATGCCCAGTGCAGAGGCGGATCTGAAATTTTGCTGACTGTCACACTTATAAAATCATGCCTATGTTCAAGTGTTGCCCGACTAATCTGTTGGACAGTTCACCCAGATTTGGTGTAAATCCCCAGTGATAGTGAGCAGAAAAGGATCAACTCAACTTGTTGTTTTCCAAATAGATGCTCGGTAATCTATCCAGTTTTAATCTTAATGTCTTTCTTTGCAGTTTGATTTAACTTGCTAGGTCTCTGGATTTTTCTTCCAGCAACATAAACAAGCCCAACCACCATGGTACAAAATGGCAGGCTAAGAAGCAGTATTATAATAGGTTTCCTAACCAGGCCCAGCTGCTGGCAGCAGTCGGTCTTATCTGGTAACAAGCTGAGTCAGGTCAACCATTGATAGCTGTGCTTTCAGCCACCATGAGCTTTAGAGTGCAGAATTCCTTCCACCTCTCTCCTACAAGCCCACTTTAAAACAACTTCTTTGATCAACATTTGTTTCGACTGCCCAAGATCACATGGCTCATAGTTAAATTTTCTCTGATAACGCATGTAAAGTGCCTTACATTAATATTTCATAATATTAAGGGTACTATACAAGCATGATTTGCTGTTGTTTATTAAGTCAGTGCCCTTATATCAGCATATTCTGATACCTGAAACCAGTTTGGAGACTAATATGGAAATGGTGAAGCCTTGAAAAGCTGAGGGCAAGGTGAAGTCTAATTTATAACAAGTGTTACACAAACAGATCGGACCAAGCAAAATATCCCAAAGTTCTAAGTAAATAATATGTATGGAAATGTACATTGTCCAGAGGCATCTCTCTTAGCTATGAGGGATAAATAAAAGTCTTCAATGTTTATCTCAGTGCTCAACAACACCTCACCTGATGTAAGACTCTCTCTTGCCACACACAACACAAAGGTTTTCCTTGGCTGTCAGGTAATAGTCTTCTTGAGACTCAGGTCTTCCTGATGGTTCAAACTTCAACTTCACAACAAATGGGTCCTCACTGATGAGCTCTAAATAAAGAATAGATGTCCATTCAAACTCAGAACACCACACTTTTAGATTTGAGGAACAAAAAAATATCATGTCACCTTCTTAGCCATGACTCAGGTTAAGCTGGACACATCTAACAGCAGCCAGACAGTCAATTGAGAAGGATGAACAGGATGATCTCCTACTTTAATCCCCAGCTGCCAGGCTGACAAACACGGGAATCTTAGAAGACTTTAACATCTACTCTACACTCCTGACCAATGAGCAGCAGGAAGACGTGGTCACCCTACTATGAAAATTTAAAGAAACCTGCAGAGATCAGCCAGAACGTACCCCACTAATAATCCATGACACGAATGTGGAAGAACACAACACGCCCTGCTGAGTCCCAATAATGTTCTGCTAGAGTTTGCACTTGCAGCCCTTATCCTAAAGCACAGTTCACATTATTGGAAAGAACAATATCATCATTGATGCTCTTTCCCAAGTGTGAGCCCACAGAATGCAGCAGGGAACTGAGTGACACCTTACACCTCTTAGCTGTGTATTGACTTTCAAATGTGAGTGACAGAAGGAATGACACATCTTTACTAGGTTAACCAAACTGATCCCTGGGATGGCAGGACTGATGTATGAAGAGAGATGGGATCATTTAGGGCCATATTCACTGGTGTTTAGATGAATGAGGTGGAATCTCATAGGAACCTATAGAATTCTAACAGAAGCAGACAGGATAAATGCAGGAAGGACATTCACAATGCTCAGGGAGTTCAGAACCAGTAGTCACAGTTTAAGGATATGGGGTGGGCCATCTAGATCTGAGATGAGGAGAACTTTCTTCACCAAGAGATTGGTGAGCCTGCGGAATTCCCTGCCACAGAAAGTGGAGTGGAGGCCAACACACTGAATGCTTTCAAGGAGAAGATCTTATAGTAAGATGTATCTTTCTTAGGGCTAAAGGGATTAAGGCATGTGGGGAGAAAGCCGGAACAGGATACTGAGTTGGATGATTAGCCATATCATACTGAATGGCAGAACAGGCTCGAAGGGCTGAATAGCCTACTTGTGTTCCTATTTTCTATCTGTTTTCTTTGAACAGAAAACATGTTAAAAATACTAGAATGATTAACAACAACAGATAGTCGTCGAGGTACTGAACAATGGATCCTTGATCAGAAAGATAGAAATTATTTAAGTTGAAACTGACTCTTTAATGGGCCAATCACAGAACCAATGTTCATCTGGTTACGATATGTATATTTCTGAACCTTGGAGGAATCTGCTCTTGACATTACAACAAAGAACAGCAGGCAGCACTCCAGACTGACAGGTAAGGATGCCTCAAGTCCAAGTCTACCTGAAGTCTCGTTCCAGAAAGATTCTTGTATTTGCCTGCAAAGTGGACCAACTCCTTGTATATCAGGATTATCTTGCTGTGCCATCACCAACTGTAAAGGAATCCTGTAACTCCTGCCATCAGACATCTGGACATGCCTGAACAAACATTCACTGGACTCTAATTCACATATTCACATGCCTGTGTGGGTCTATTTGCCACAAACCAAACATTCCAGTCTGCTTCTCTCCTGTCCATAATGCACCCAACTATTTTCATTATTCTTCTGTTGTTTATTGCTCTAGGCAGTGGCAGCATAGTTCAGTCTCTTTTTCTCTCAAAGTGAAGACAAACCTACCCCCGATGCCCTTGTCTATGTACCATTGAGCCTTCTTCCTGTCACAGGTGCACAGGGGTTGTCCGTCTGGAGCATGGAGGAAACAATTGTCATAGAGTGGGGATTTCCTGTAAAAGTGAAATAAGTAGCAATGATTTCCCCCGAAGCAATCATAAGAAATCACACTGCAGAGAGCCTGAACAATCATCTGCCATCAACACTATAGCTCCATGTGCTAAGAGGTTAAAATTCGAACCAATGACGGTCAATCTAAGTCTTTGTAAATGCTATTTCTGTACAACTTGATTTCCTGATGTCACGCTTTTTGTCACACTTTGCATGTCAAATACAAATGACTTCCTCTACCCAGATTTGTGCATTTGGCTAATGCATTCAATTGGTAGGCTAACCACTAGATTCCTTCAAATTATTTTCTGAAAACATTTTTCAGTGGCAATTCCCCCCAATCCACTGCAGTTTAATTTTCTAATCTTCTAATTTAAAAGCTTAGATGAACTATAATGCAGAATTCATAAGAAATAAATTACCTTTTTAAGTCTTTTAATGTTTGCTGAAGTTTTACCTGAAAACCACAAATCTCATTTTCAAAGTGATCAATTTAGCCAGATTGGAGACTAGGAAAACTACATTAGAATTGTGCAGCTGAGCATGTGCAGTATATTTAACTTCCTAGGATGCATGCTATTGTTCAGCCAGCTATCCTGATGAAATATTCCAGTGTATACTTCTGACCAAAATTTTTACTAAAACCTAACTCTTTGAATAGAAGTTTAGAGAACACGTTTTAAATTCAGGTAAAACATATATTGAGACTTTGAAAAGAAAAGTTGTGTGTCATACCAAAGGAAGAAGAAACTGCTGATTACATTCTTTAGCAGCTTTTATTTCATACTTTATAGACATCAGAAAGTGCATTAAGCTAAGACACTAAGCATTTTGCTCCCCGTCTCAAGAATCATAGAATCCCTACAGTGTGGGCAGTCAGTCCATCAAGTCCACACCAACCGTCTGATGAGCATCCCATCCTGTCTCTGTAACCCTGCATTCCCCATGGCTAACCCACCTAGCCTATACATCCCTGGACACTACTGGCAATTTAGCATTTCACCTGCACATATTCAGACTGTGGGAGGAAACTGGAGCCCCCGGAAGAAACCCATGCAGACACAGGCAGAATGTGTAAACTCCACACAGACTGGGGGTGGAATTGAACTCAGGTCCCTGGCGCTGTGAGGCAGCAGTGCTAACCATGAGCCACCATGCCACCTGTTGTCACGTAAAACACTAAAAGATGGAATGTAATGTGAGAAAATGTGAGCTGTGCACTTTGCCAGGACGAACAGAAGAATTGAATATTATTTATATGGGGAAAGACTGCAAAAACCTGCAGAGGGGGTCCTAATGCATGAATGACAAAACGTCAGCAGACAAATTCAGCAGCTAATAGGGAAATGGAATGCTGGCCTTCATTTCAAAGGGAATAGGTTATAAAAATAGGGAGGTCTTTCTAAAACTATACAAGGCTCACAAGTCAGACCATACCTGGAATTTCATGAACAGATTTGGCCCTCCTTATGTTAAAAAAATATATACTGGCATTGGAGACAGGCCAGAGAAGGTTCACTGGGTTGATCCTAAGTATGGAATGGTTTCATTATGAGACAGGTCAAATAGTTTGGGCTTGTACACATTGGAGTTTAGGAGAATGAGAGGATACTTTATTGAGACCTAAGATTCATAGGGGATTTGACAGGGTAAATGCTGAGACATGGTTTCCCCATGTGGGAGAGAATAAGGGCTCATCCATTTAAGACAGAAATGAGGAGGAATGTTTTGTTCCTCGGAGGATGTAGAATTCCTTATTATGGACGCCTGTCAAAGCTGGGAGATTAAGTACATTCATGGCTGATTTAGACAGATTTCTAAACATTAAGGGAATCCAGGGTTATCGGGATAAGGCAAGAAAATAGAGTTGAGGATATCAGATCAGCCATGATCTAATGGTCTAACTATTGAGAATTGCCTTGACATTAATAGCAAGAATCAAAGTTGCGGAATAACGCCAACATTCTTGAAAGGCATATGGGAGCAGACTGATCTGTAGAAATGAGAGGTGGAATTCTGGAAAGAAATCCCACTAAGAAGATAATTAAGATTCTGAGTAACGATCTTGGAGACACCATAACAATTTGTATTTACATAGCACCTTTGCCACAATAAAACACACAAGGCATTTCACATGAGTGCCATGCAAAAAGCTAATAAAGACCTATTAAGACACATGTAGAAAAAAGTTTGGTCAAAAAGGCAGGCTTTAAAGAGGCTGTTAAATGATGACAGAGGTGGAGACATTTAGTGGAGGGAATTCTGGAACTGAAGGCCTCAACAACTGAAGCACGGCCTTGGAGAGTGACGAGCTGGAGATTAGAGAGATGGGGAAAGGGACGAGGCCATGAAGACATTTAGGAACATTGAGGCAAATTATAAAAAGAGAAATAAAGGAAGCTCAACTCAATCCCAAGTGGGGGAGAAAGAACTTTACGCTGGTTTGGGGAAAGGTAAGGGGATACAGAGAGCTCGACATAGATCATGATCCAAATGTTAGCAGAAACACATTAGTCTAATAAAACAATCAATGCTTGTGGCACCTCAGCTCAACTGAAGACTGATCTAGAGGCTTATACTATGAAGTCATTACGTACTGGTGTTCTGCACCAATTTAATCTTCCCACAACTCCCAGTCCCAGCAACCACTACGTTCAGCTACTTCAGTGACTTTCCCTCTGCATAAGGTCAGAAGTGGGGATGTTCATTGATGATTGTACAACTTCCAGCACGATTTGCAACTCAAAAACCTAGGCAGGCAGAGATATTTGAGGTACTAGCATGGCACTCAAGTTTAGACGAAATACAAAAGACGCCAGGCACTGCAAGTAATGACGCACTGTAATGTGATGATATTCACTTACATTTAAGGCTGCCTAAGCATGAGCAGAGAATCAAAAAAACTGGAGATTGAATTCCAAGGGAAAGAAAAAGTCAAAGAAAAGCAGAAAGCGATAACAAGAGAGAACTATAAAGGGAAAATAAAAACAGGAAGTGGAAATGTGGAAACTAGAATTGCAGCTAGAATTGCAAAACAGAATTAGAATTGCAAAGGGAAAAGAAAGCATGGAAACATGAAGATTAAGCTTAAAATGATGCCGTTGAAACAGGAGACATCAAATAATGACACAGGCACTGCAGGGGAGAATTTCAGCCATCATTTGAAATCCAGTAAGGAAATGGTTAAGCTTTCATAGGTCATACAAAACTTTGAGGAAAAGATTGCAGAGGTATTCTTCAAGTCATTTGAGAAAATGGCTAGGCAAAAGAGGGCTGAACATTGCTGATGTGAGTACGTTGACAGGTTAAGCACAGGAAATTCACGCTTCACTGTCAGCGGAGGTTTTTCAGGATTATGATGCTGTGAAGATGACTATGTTGGTGGCATGTGATTTAGTCCCTGAAGCATTTAGGCAAAGTGTTTGGATTTTTACAAAACTGCCAAAGCAAACCTATATAGGGAATCCCTGATTTACGAGCGCTTGTACTTACAGACATGATGTAATGCAAGGGTGTCATTTTAAAGATCCAACATATCAACATTTCCTGCGCTTACGAACAGTTATTTTACATTGTCCTGCATTGAGTTCTGACTTGTGCACGGTCTCGAGAATGGAACCTGGGGACTGGCTATATTGAATTGGAAAGGATTAAGCAAAGTAATTTTGATAGGTTGGATACAAACATCAGAATCTGAAATCACATATGAAACTGTTAGAGAGGTTATGCTCTTAGAAGAATTTAAAAACTCACTATCTTCTGTAATAAAGAACCCATGAGGGGAATAAAGGGTTGGACCTGCTAGACAGGCAGTGATAATGGCCGAAAATTATGAGCTAATCCATGAAATGCAACCTTTTATCCCAGTCACCATCAGAAAAGCATAGAAAAGTAAAAGGAAGGTGTGAGCCAAGACAAGGAATGAATAGCTGGGAATACTCCAAGGTCTCCTCCTCAGATCAAAAGGCAAAGTACTTAGGATGGAAGTGAAAATTGGAAGCCTTTCCTTTTTAACAAGGTGAGGCATTTGTTTCAGAATGCTAAAAGCCGAGGCTTGTTGGAGCTTGTAAGAGTGAGTCTGAAAAGTAAACTCAGAAGGGAAAGGCCATGGATCAGATAGTAGCTTTAAGAGCAACTAAGAAACCGGAAGTAGACGCCACGGTGAGTGCAGAAGTTGTACAGAGGGTAGACAAAAGATTTGAAGGGATTTTGTCTAAAAATAAGCTAACACCTTTTCTTCAAAGAGAGCATCCAAGCTCATAACCACACTAAGGGATACAGCGGTTACTCGAACCCTGTCGCTGGAAGCCCAAAGTGTTGGTAAATGGGATGGATGGAGAGTATATCCATGTTCCATTGTACAAATTCCAGTTGGATTGAGACATTTTGTCTGTACACGTGGTAGTTAAGAAACTACCTACAACGCATTTCGCAGCGGTGAAACTTACAGCTTTGCCTATAATCACAGAAAATCCAGCTGAAGCTAAGGAAACAGAACAATTGCAAGAACAGATTCTGGAGTTCTTTTCTATCATGTGTAGAATAGCTAAACAAAGTCCATCATCAGAGGTCACAGTAATACTGCATGCAGTTGCTAGGGTGGCTGAAACTATCTAAAGAAGACAGTTCTAAAAGAAGTAAAAACGGAAAGAACTGTGAATGCTGTAAATCAGAAATTGCTGGAAAAGCTCAGCAGGTCTGGCAGCATCTGTGAAGAGAAATCAGAGTCAATGTTTCAGATCTAGTGACCCTTCCCCACAACTGACCCAAAACGTTAACTCTGATTTCTCTTCACAGATGCTGCCGAACATGCTGAGCTTTCCTGCAATTTCTGTTTTAGTTCAAAAGACGTACTTGGTATGTTTTTATTAATTGAGGCTCAGGATGCAAGTCCAGAGTTAAGTAAGTTAGCACAGAAAGCCCACCCTGAAGCTGAAGCTGTTTCAGACTGCCTTTACATTAAAAACAGAATTCTGATAAGGAGATATCCTCAAATATCTCC